TGAATTTTACATATATTTTTAAAGGTGTGATCAACCATTGTAGGTTTCTTCCCAGTAGTCCTGTAACCTAAGCCCTATTTGGGCATTCACCTATGATCCTCTAAGTCAGGAGCACTTGCTTACTCTTTGCCCACCATCACATCTGAGAAATCCAGCTCATGGGACCAGCGTTCTCTCAAAGGGCAGGCTGCAGACATCCTTCCAAATGCACAAATGCCATTGGGGAGAGGCTGCCATGGGGTTTGACAGTATAAGTGGAGCAAGCAAATGAAGTCCTGCTCTCCTGGTTCACACAATGGTAATCGTGAAGTCATTTGAATGGCTTCTGCTTCCTCCCACATGGAATCATAATGCTGTGACTAACATAACCTCCCTTCCCTTATTATTTGTGAGATGGCTGAATATAGCTCACCAATCATTTACTGAGAAGCTTGATAGAGAATCTGTCTTGGAGGACTCATCCCTTTGAAGAAACACTGCATTATGTATTTTCTTCCTTGACATATGGATTTGCTTCAGGTGTCGCTTTTGAAATAATGCCTGCTATGCTCCTTTTCAATATTTGAAGGATTAGCACATAATACTTCTAGTAGCTGTTAAGTCCCAGTGGATTCACTCTGTAGTCCATGCAAACTTGTTGGAGCTTATTTCTATCATTCTAGTGTATCACCCCCAGTCCTGCCACAAGTTAGTTTTACTTTCAGCAAGTAGAGTCAGTTCAATATAGGAAACTTTAAATGTGCTACATTTTCAGTTTAACCCTTAGATCAGTGTCTAGCAGTTATTTTCTTTTGATATCTGGATCTGGCTCAAGCATACACACACAGGAAAACCTGAGCCCCAAGTTTGGATGACTGAGTAGCAATCTCCCCCCGCCCCACATACCTGGTATCTGATTAAACAGCAGGATAATAAACAATAGCAGCATTAGCAAGAAAGATAGCAAAAATCATAAAGTCATCCCCATGCTCAAAACCAGGGCCAGCCAACCTATGAGGCAAGGTGAGGGTCCACCCAGGGCAGAAGATCCCAATGTTGATCTTTCTTCCCTGTCTGCCCCTTGTTCCTGATCTAGATCTTCCCTAGTGGGGGTCGGGGTGTCATTTTGGGATCTGCCTCAGGTGCCAAATGTCTTGGTCTGCCCTGCTCAAAACTGTCCACCAGGTCTAAATGTACCAACCAGATGTCCATGTCCTTTGGGCCTTATTCAAAGTTCATTCAAGGATGCAGTCAGTGTGATGGCTTTACATGTTCCATAAAGATGCAAAACATGAGAACCCTGCAACGTAAATTTTCCAGCAAGTGTCAGCAGCACATTTTGGTGCATTGCAGATGCTTCAGCTAACCCGTGCCAACAGTAAATTTGTATTCCAACCAGCAGGTGGCAGTAAAGATTGGTCTCAAATCACTCTTCAGTCTTGATTAAGCTTCTGGTCCTGTAGCTCCCATTAGTCACTATAGTGCCAGCCAATCACAGGTGCAAGCAAACTCCTAGCTGCTACAGTGACTCAAACCTCCATCCAAATAATGATTTCAGCCAGGAAGGATAGAGCCACCTACTGTACCATGATTTTAGCCAATAGGAATTGCAGTATAGGAGCTCCTGTAGGAACTTTACTACAGAGGTTAACAGATCATATGATATGATAGCCATCTTCAAATATCTAAAGGGCTGTCTTACGGAAGATGGTGCAAGCTTGTTTTCTCCTGCTCTAGAGGGTAGGTTCCGAACCAATGGATTCAAGTTGCAAGAAAGAAGATTTCGACTAAACAGCAGGAAGAGGAGTCCAAGGGACTCTTCCAAGGGAGTCCGTTCCAATGTCAAACAGGACATTGGAACGGACTCCCTTGGAAGATGGTGGACTTTCCTTCCTTGGAGGGTTTTAAGCAGAGGTTGGGTGGCCATCTGTCACAGATGCTTTAGTTGAGATTCCTGCCTTGCAGATGGTTGGACTAGATGGCCCTCAGGGTTCCTTCCAACTCTACAATTCTATGATTTCATGATTCATCCTGGAGCATTTACCAGAACTATAGTCGAGCACTTCCAAAAGCAACCAACCAGCTCTTTGATTAACACAATAATAACGAATTTAGTGGTGGATTTAAACTGGACTGTCTGCACATTTTCCACTTTATTAATTGTTCTGTGATGAGTCCCCAGTGCTACCACATGACTGCCTTTGGAAAGCGCACTCTGGCACAGTACCAAAAGCGGAACATCCCCCTGCCTTGCACATCCTGGAACATTGTGATAGAAAAAATTACAGGGTTTTAATAGGAAGCTATGAGACAAAGCAGTATGCCACCCTGAAACTTTTATAGGTGCAAACAATCTGGAGAGTGGCATCACATATAGAATCACAGTATAGTCAAGTTTCAAGGGACCGTGAGAGTCATTTATTCCAACATTCTGCAGTGTAGGAATCTTTTGCCCAAAATTGGGCTCGAACCCATGACCCTTATCCTTGAAGGATAAGAAGAAAACTAGAGGTTGCTTAATACCATCACGAGCACAACTCTTCATGAATGCACAATTAAAAGGACACATGGAGGGAGGCCCCAGTGTGCTCTTTTGCAGTGTGTAATTTGTATAGGACTATTTCAGGGACCAGATAGAGTGGGTGGGTGTATTCTGTATAGGGCGTTTCTGGCTGGGAATCCAACAGTCTCCTTCCCTGCTAACAGAGGACTACCCCAAATGGAAACCATCTCCTACTCAGCCACAGTCACAGTATGGAGTAATATATTGTATTGACACAAGCAAGTCAATTTTTCAATGTTTCAAAAGTAAAATGATAAGAAATCCATACCGTCCAAATAAGACCTGCATTAGAGGACCATGTCCTGTCTTTGCTGTTATTTTTTGTCTGGTGAGGTGGCATTCAGGTTAAAATCCTGGATTCTTCCACTGTTTTCTTTGAGCTGCTTTCAGTTCCATCATGTGGGAGAGAATAAAAAAAATGTCTTTCAAAACGAACCAGCAAGCTCCATTTCTGAACAATAGAATTGTGTCTTGGGCTGTGACTCACCTCATTCCCTGCCAAAATGGAATGTGGGAACCAGCTTGAGTCTTGAAGAATGATTGGGTGGAATATTGCCTGCACATTTTTCTCTTTTTATGTACGTAGGTTATGTTCTTATGCTTAATTCATTAATTCAGCAATCATCAGCATATTATGGCACTGCTGAAATAATTGCACTGGCTGCCAATTAGAGGTATGAGTTAAGTTCAAGGTGCTGGATCTGGGGTACAAAGCCCTAGGTCATCTCACCCCTTATATACCTAATTGATCACTGAGCTCTGCAGATAGGGGCCTTCTGCAGATTCCACCTTATTAAGAGGTCCATCCTGCGCAATAAAGGAATTGGACCTTTAATATGGTAGCCCCTTCCCTTTGGAATCTCACCCTCTGCCATTTAATATCAGATAGGTATCATTTCTGTTGTCTTCGAAACCTACTGAGGACCTTCCTCTTTCAACAAACCTTTTATGTGGAAATCTTACCACAGTCTGCATCTGCACTGGAACTATTAAAAAACTTTTTATAGGTGAAATGTTTTTAAACTGTTTGTATTATTTTTATAAAAATAAAATGGAATTGTTTTTAATATCAACTTGCTTCTAGAATCATAGAATTGTAGAGTTGGAAAGGATCCGGGGGTGGGAGAGGGGCATCTACTCCAACCCCCCACAATGCAGGAAACTCCACTAAAGCATCCCTGAGAGATGGCTATCCAACCTCTGCTTAAAAACCCCAACAAAGGAGAGTCTACAACCTCCTGAGGGAGCCCTCTTTAATTGTGTTTTGCACTAGTTTTATGGTTGTAGTTGTTTTATGATTATATATTTTACTGTTGCAACCCATCCTGGGACCTTGCGGTGAAGAGCAGGTAAGAAATAAAAATAAAAATGAAATCAATCAATAAAAAGAATTTATATGCATCTCATGCATGTGTAATAATGTGCTTTTGAAATGCTCAGTAGTTTGTGATTTGGCTCCTCTGGAGTTTGGGGAGCCTGGCACTTTATTGTTTCACTTCACTAGTGGCCTGATTGTAGCATGAATTGTGTGAAGCCCACTCTTTGGCCATTAGGCCCCCTGCCCTTAGCAGTTTTGAAAAGGATGGAAGCCCTCCAGGATCTGAGATGCAGCTAAGGGTTGTACAGTGGTACCTCAGTTTTTGAATGCCTCTGTACTCAAACGTTTCGGAACTCGAACGCCAAAAACCCGGAAGTAAGTGCCTCGGTTTTCGAATGCGCCTCAGAACTCGAACAGGAAACGTGGCTTTTGTTTTGAGTTTTCTGTGTTGAGGCTTGTGTTTTGAGGCTTCCGCTTTCGGTTTTCGAATGTTTCAGAAAATGAACAGACTTCCAGAATGGATTATGTTCAAAAACCAAGGTACCACCAAGTCTTTGGCTTGTACTACTTCTTTACTCTACCTTTTCCTACTGCACAGCAGAGGACCATGGCGAAGAGAATGTTGGGGCAAACTGAGGGATTCATTATTTTCCTCAGTAGCAATTGAGGCAGTTCTGCAAAGTATGGGGGAACACATGAAGGTTGTTATGTCCCTCCTACCTCCCCTGACAGGGTTCTTGTGACTTTAATACAGTATAGAGTGTTAGGCAGCAATATAGCAGATAGAGTATGTTCTCTTCCCACATAGAGATGCAGTAAGGGGGAAAGTGGCAACAGCTGAATTTTTCACATGCCATACTAGTCATGAAAGTGCTAGAGCAAGGTTTGATCATTTTGCTTCTTCCCTTTTAAAAAGAATCTCCTGGTGCCTGCTGAGCTGCACATTGCTTCATTACGGCAATAGGTGTCGTCGTTTCCACACCTATTTGGTTGGTCCTGTACCTGCCTTTTTACTTTATGTTTTGATGGCATCTGTTAATTATTAAAAACCATGGAATATGTTCATTGGTTGCACACCTGAGTCATATCTTTTTATGAGATAAAAGGTCATTGCAAACAGAGTCACACAAAAGCCGCCTCAGAAACCAGAAGTTGCAGGAAATGCTTTGTGTGGGGCCTTCCAGAGGAATAATATAGAAGCCAGTTGAGAGTTAATCGGAATATTTGGGTGTGTGGCTATATGAGGAGTTACTTGGATGGAAGAGACAGCAATGAACAGATTTTCTTTCTCAGAAGAGACTAAGGATTTTCATGTGATAATCTACTGGTAAGAAGGTAAGGAACTCTCAAGCCTATGATAGTCAATTTAATATGGGTGAATGACTGCAAAATGGGTTTACTGATAAAGAATCTGCGGTTATGTAATGCTATTTAGAAAAGGATGTTTGCTCTCCAAAGTTAAGTTAGCAAAATCCAAATGTGAACAGAAACTAGGAAGTATGATAGTGTAGAGGCCTCTTGAATGTTACTTGTTTGGCACAGTCTTAGGTATGTTTACTGTGTATGACGGGGCTTAAAACTTAGTGAAAGTGCTGACAGTTGCAGCTTTAATTTATATGTCTAATCAAACACATGTGGAGAGCAACTACTATATAGAAACGTATTTTTCTGTTGATCCCACAGCTCTGAAATGGTCTGCAAATGATCCTTCTTGGTTAATGAAAACCCAGGAAATGAGCTTGGGTAGTCCACCCCTATTGGGCACGTTGATCTGTTATCGTACAAGAGGAGATGCTTAGCACAATGGCAACTCCAGCCTCAAATAAGGAGAGTAAATAAAGCTATCCCAAAATAATTGTAGCTTTCTGTTGTGAAAAACATTTTTTCCAGTTCTAAAAAAAATTGAGCCCCTATGGCCTAGTTTTGATGGAAGTTCCTGTGGCTCTCCTTCCCTAACCCTAACTCTAACCCTTTTTCAGATAGGTAGCCGTGTTGGTCTGCCATAGTCAAAACAAAAAAAAAATTTTTTTGTTCTAACCCTTTTTGACACCTACATCACTGAAATACATTTCCAGGCAACAGTCTTATGCATACTTACAAGGGAGTGAGTCTCTTTTAATCAGAGCTGTTAGCATTTACATTCAAATATAGATCCATAGGATTGTATTGCCCATCCTTTGTGCTGATAAATCTCATCTTTTTGCTATTTTATGCAATGTAGGTTTTTAACAATTACACAGCAACACCAGCAATAATAGTTGTCGTGAGCTGAGATCTGATTTATGCTTAGCCCTTCTGGGCATTTCTTTGAATGAGGATTGCTATTCTTAAAAAGACTTGATCACATCAGCGGCTAGGATAGATATCTCTTAGCACTTCAGGACACACTTCAGCAGGAATTTTTTGTAGCTTATGGAGGGAGGTGAATGATCCCTTTGCTGAGGGTTTGTTGCCATTCGTATTGTTATGAGTTTGTGCATTTAGTAAGAGTTAGAATTAAATAAGGTTTGATTAAACTGTGCCAAACACTAAAACTCCCTGGATTTAGTTTATGCTAACAACCTAGGCCAATCTGGCATAGCTGCTAAGAGGGGCCATTAGCAGGGCACAAAGGCTAGTGATGGCCCATCAAGGAAACCATCAAAGGGCAAGACTGCAGGACCAGGAGGGCTTCCTCCTTCAGCTGTATGTGTTAATCTGCAGGGAAGGAAAAGGTTTAAGATTTCAGTCCTGGATTATGTAGGCTGATGGAAAGTTGTGGTGTTTTGCAAGAGGTCTGAAAAAGTGGGAGAGAAAGGGGGCCAACAGAACTCCCAGTGGGCTGGCTGGAGCAAATGGGGCAGGCAGGTTCCCTTGTTTGCAGACCTAAGCCTGCTGCTCCTGAGAGAGGAACAAATCATCATTTTAAGATGTGAATGCTCTGAACCCTCTCTGCAGAGTAGATGACCAGCCTGGATAGCTCAGTTGGTTAGAGCATGGTGTTGATAATACCAAGGTTGCAGGTTCAATCCCCGTATGGGACAGCTGCTTATTCCTGCATTGCAGGGGGTTGGACTAGATGATCCACAGGGTTCCTTCCCACTCTACAGTTCTATGATTCTATTATTCAGGTTGTATATATGTGTAAATAAACCATATATCATAAAGACACTGCCGCCTCCACTGTGCCTAATTGTCCAAAAGGGAACACAGGCCCTGTGGAAAGCATGCCATTGCCAAGACCCCTGGAATCTCACACATCTTAGAGATTGGATGCTTACATGAATCCAGCCCAGGAGTTTTTTTCCACAACTGCTCACCACATTCCAGAAGGATGTGATCTCTTCTTAATAGTCAAACACGTCATTTAGTGACTGCACATATATGTATGGTTCTCTGTTTATAATCTAGGAAATATACTGCTTTGTTGTTGTTCAGTCCATTTGAAGCATGATTGTTTTTGTCTTTGGATTTGCGACTTTGAAATACTTGATAAAAAATATGTGTTTTACAGCAATGCGCTGGTGTCCTTTTCTTTTAGGTTCATTGGAAGAGCTTGCAAAATGGATAGATATTGGGAATGGATTTGGCTGGCTTTCAGTCTTTTAGTCTTGCTAACAGGTATTATTACCCTTTACTCATTTTCCAACCAAAGTGTAACTTGTTTGCTTAGCACTTCTTAGGCCACCTGTAACTCTATAGAATGCTGAAATACTAAAACTAAATTTGGCACACACATTCAGGGTGTCACATTTTAATAACAACCCAGCCCCTTCCTCCCCACCAATTCTCAGTGGGAGAAGGAAAATGCAAAATATTACTCAATGCAAGACTGAAATGTCGTATAGAAATCATTTAATATGGATAGTAAGCTTCCTATACCTCCATTAATTGTTGTCCACATGACTTTTTCCTCCAAATCACTGCCTTCCCACACTTCCCTCTCAGTAAGTCTGGATTTTCTCATACCCCCTCCTTTTCAGAGTATCCCTGTTATGAGAAAATCAGGACTGAGGAAGGGGAAAGTATGGGAAAGTGGAGATTTGGAGGAAAACATCAAAGGATAATGGAGAATTGGGGGAAGTACAGAAAGCTTACTATCTACATTAAATTACCCGATGGACGAGCCCTTTGTGTGCACATTCAAGGTCAACATTCTGAATTTCTATTATAAATTCTAACTTGACTTCCACTCTGTTTTCATGGAGGCCAGGAAAGATGCAAAGCAGAATGCAGTGCAATAGCTCCCTTGAAGACTGACAAGTTGGAGTAAGAGATGTGCATGTTCAGGACGCAAGGAAAAGGAGGGAAATTGAACACAATACAGGGTATCCCTTGAAAAGCAAGCTACTGACTGAGAGCTGAAGTGTACTTTCAGTACAGCAGTCTGCATTTCAAGCTGAAATCCTAGCTCAAGTCCCTATGCACTTTGGGTCAGTAAAGATGTCAAAGATACAGCCTCCCTTGAAGTCTTCAGAACAAAAGGCCACGTGTACATTTTGAACACCAGCTGGTTATTATACCTCTGCAGGTGTGTCTTTGTGATTCATTTCTTCAACTTCTCAGTCTGCATTTTTTTTGCATTGCTGTAGCTTGTTTAGCTCGTGTCCCATGTGAATTTTTTGATACAAGTTTGTGAGTTTTGAAACTTCTTATGATCCTTGAGCATTAAAATGCAATTTAGTACAAAGACAATGATCCCTTTAAGTCCCTTGGGTAGTTTATACAATAAGATGGAAAGAATGTAATTATCTTGGCTTATAATGCCAACATACTTGGAGTATGGTCATTAGCAAAGGATAATAAAAAAAATGAGAAGTGTTCTGGAATTGGTTCACACTGATGGGAATTACGCTACTATGCCACCTATTCAAATGACTCTTGTAGAGTATTTAGGCTGTTGTGCAATTCTTGGCTCTTGGAAAATCACATGCCCTTTCTGGTAATTATTTCTTTAAAGAAAGTAAAAAAGAAAAAAAAGAAAAAGATTAAGCCCAGTTTTGCCAACATGAGGATTTATTAAAGTCGTTGTCAATCAATCCACAGAACTGAGCACAAAACTTTGAAAAATTAACTCTTGCAGATCAGTGTGTCAAAGCTGTACAGGATGGATTAAGAAAATTCAAAATGTTTATCCTGAAAGCTCTATAATGGAACAGGCAAGGGCAGCACTACCAAATGAGCCACAACTACAGTGGTACCTTGGGTTACATACGCTTCAGGTTACAGACTCCACTAACCCAGAAATAGTACCTTGGGTTAAGAACTTTGCTTCAGGATGAGAACAGAAATCTTGCTCCAGCAGCGTGGTGGCAGCAGTCAGCCCCATTAGCTAAAGTGGTGCTTCAGGTTAAGAACAGTTTCAGATTAAGAATAGACCTCCAGAACGAATTAAGTTCTTAACCCGAGGTACCACTGTATTCTCAGGATAGGATGAATCTGCTTCTAGGCACCTGGTTGTTTAAAACCAGTTTAGGTCCAAAATGGGAAGGCTTTGAACCAGAACTCTGGGATCCATTAAGCAACTGCTGTCAACTTAAACTGAGGCAAGACCTTCCCCCTGTTTTCAAGCACAGGACAAAGTTACAATACAAGACGACTGATAGCTTTTGTTTCTAATGTTGACAGCAAAGGTTCTTCAGACGTTGTACACACTATCTGGCATTAATCTGTGTTACCAGTACATTAACCAAGTTAAATGCCTCCTTCATTTTTTTGTTCACATGGACGTTTAATGCTCCTCAGGTTTTTATGCAGAAGGGTGATGTCAGACCTATATACATTGATATTTTAAACTGTTATCATGATGATTGTGTGAGATAAGCTAGAAACACCCTTATTGACTTTGGTGTTGGTCTAGTTTCAGTTCCTGAGTGATTTTTTCCCCCTCTCCTGTTTTGCAGATACTGGGTTTGGCTACTCCATCATAGAAGGTCCCAGAAATTTAACAATTCTTGCTGGTTCAGTGGCTCATTTTAACTGTACAGTGTCAAAAGGGTATCAGGTTTTGATATGGCTTTTCAATGGAACCCCTATATTGACTGTACTGGGTAACGGAACACCTATTATAACAAATCCGAAATACAATCAGGATGGTTTTCAAAATGGTACTGAGTTCACCTCTGGACTCAAGATTTTTGATGTCCAGTTACATGATTCTGGAGAAATAAAATGCAGCCTCCAGAACTTTCAGGACGATAAATACGCATTTCTTTCTGTTCAAGGTGTGTATGCCTTTTTGTCATCCTTCAGTTTTAAGGAAAAAACATTTAGGCCAATTGCCAGAGTAATTCATACTGAGATTGCTCTTTCCTATTCCTTCTATGCTTCCTTCTCTCAGCACTTTAAACAGTATTGTGGCATTTAAACACTAATAGATGTGCTGCAGCGCAAGCCTTTGTGAACTACAAAGCACTTTGGTAGACGAATAGCATAATTTTCAGTTGTATACCCTCCAACATTCTGACAATTAAAATTGGGCTGCAGGTCCTTTGGTGCCCTGCTCCCATGCAAGCCAGCTGAGGCTTCCCAGTCCCATGTCTCTGTTGCTGGCAGCAGCTCCCTCAGGAAGCGGCAGACCAGCACCTTCACCTCCTCTTTCCCTGTCATCGTCTTTGTCGGCTTCTTCTATGCCTCTGGCAGGGACAGCATCAGGCAGAGCAGGCATGGCCTTTGGGTCTGGCTGGGGCATCCTGGCTTACACCACCAGTACCTCCTCCATGGGCTCCAGCTCGGCTGCCTTCATTTGCGTGAAAAACATGCCTCTTTTGGTGCCGAGCTCTCATGGGAAATAGCTGACTTGTGCGAGAGCTTGGCACCAAAAATGAGACATCCAATCAGAAGCCACGATGGAATCTGCAATTCTGGGATGCCCTGGTCAAATCAGAACCGTTGGTGGGTATGTCATTGACATGTGTTTTTATATATCAGAGAGAGAGAGAGAGCGCGCATACAGATGGCTGTAGCATCCCCTGCTTCTAATGCCATAGCAATGCTACCATAAAACTAGTAGTTAGTGGATACTAAGCCAGCATTTGGGAATCATTACAATAGACCCTCATCAAGATATCAGGTGCTCCTTTTGACAATACTGCCAATCGGCATTGTTTAGAGCCCAAACGTTTTCAAAGAGGGCCAGGTTTGATGAAGTGAACATGCGTGAGGGCCGACCACAGGTGTTTAGCTTTTTTTAGGATTGAAGTTGTTGAGCTTTTTTAAGGATTTTACTCCAGGACATATACTGCCACAGGGGCCAGATTAAATCAACCAGCGGGCCGGATTAGGCCCCCGAATTGGACTTTGGACATGCCTGGTTTAGAGAATGCATATAGAAATGATAAATCATCTCTCGGCTCCAAAAATTTGCCAAATGAAGGGTCAATTTGTGGTGTGGCATTTTCAAAATTCTTGATAAATCCAATCCAATTTATTTTTTTAAACTGCAAATGGAAAAAATAATCATTAGTGCATAATTCTGTAGCTCAGAAAGATGCATCTATCAGCATGGCTACAAAGCTTCAATAATTATCTTCCAACAGTAATCTGGGAAACCTGCTTCTGTTTCTAAAGCCACTAATGGGCTGTTAGAAATGCTTTAAAGGTTACTTTTTCAACATGGAAATCTGGGTTTCAAATTTTTTTTTGGGGGGGGTGGGAATGTAATTCTCTTGGTGGCAACATGAAACCAAATTGAGAAAATAAATTCAACCTGGCCCTATAAAAATGTGTAGTGTAAACTATTCTGAAGGAAGAAAAACATCTTCTTTTCCCCAAACAGTTAATGGATCTTTGACTATCAAACCTGGCAACTTGACAGTAAGAGAGAACCAAACAACTGAGATAATTTGTGAAGCTCTTGGATGGGCTCCTGCTCCACAGATTTCCTGGATGGTAAATAATATTACATTAGATAATTCCATGTACATTACCAACCAGAGTCAAGGATCAAATGGCTTGTACAATGAAGAGAGCATCTTAACTCTGACACCAGTGACCAATAGCACTGTGACTTGCTTTGTCGCTATAGATGCACTCCCTGAGCCACAGAATGAAACTGTGACACTTACTGTGTATCAACCTCCTTCAAGTAAGTGACTATCTTGCGGGGTACACTTCTCTCTCTCTCTCTCTCTCTCTCTCTCTTCTTCTTTCTTTCTTTCTTTCTTTCTTCTTTCTTTCTTTCTTAACATTTATTCAAAAGTTACAATACAGCTTTGTCCACTGCCATAATACCACAAAATGATTACTCCAATCCTCAATCCCACATCCCTGCCATGTTCAAAATCTTTAATTTCTTGTTATGCAATCTCATATACATGGCTGAAAGGTACTGTACTTGGCTTTTGATCATGGATAAAATATTGGTGGGACATACATTCACAGACTATATGAAATTTGGTGAGTTTCATGAAGATGGCTCTGGAATGGCCCTAGCTTTGGCCCTCTGGCTTTTGACAGCCTACAACTCCCATCATCCTTGACCATTGATCATGCTTGCTGGGGCTGATGGGTTACAGTGCACAAACACCTGGAAGGCCACAGGTTCACCATCCCTACTCCAGGTGCTTCCATGTCCAATTATTAATGTACAGTACCAACAATGGACATGAATGAATATCTTCTTCATGTGCCTATTCTTAGAGAATTTGGATAATTGTTTGAGACTGGAAATCAACCATGTAATCACATGATCATTCTTTTGATCCATATTTATTGCATTTATATTAGTCACAAAAGCATTTCTTACACAAGACCTATCCTGTGATTTTGGAAATTGCTTCAAAGAATTTAATTGTGTCTAAAGGACGTAACAACACACCTCCAATTTATCTTTAAGCCAAGCATTTGTAGTTCAATCACTAATGGCAGCTAGAGAATTATGCTTTCTTTAGATAAAAAGGGCTTGACTGCATGCAAAACTGACCATTGGATACTATGCTTTTTGTAGAATTATATGTAATGAATCAGGCAGATTTAATATGTGAATTAAAGAACCAATAAATACTATTTCTCTGGGCTGTTAGGTCTCAGAATTGCTCTAAGAGTTTTAATAATTATAACTGCACAGACTTGCAATAAAAGTTTGAGGGTTAATTCTTGCATGAACACATATCATTGCTGGTATGACCTTTGCATGAGGGACTTTTTTTTTGACAGGAACAGAATGCCGAAAGAGGCAGAGCAAATTGTTTCCCAAAAGCTGTTCTCAAAATTCTCCATTTTAGATGCTGATATTGAATATTCTCTAGATATTCTTTGCATGCTCAAATATGTGGATTCTGAGATTTTATTTAACACCCAATGGTGCTTGATTTCAATATTTGATACTTGATAATTGATAGAATGTGAGAGTTAGTAGGCAATTTTATCAAGTATTTGTCTATACGTCTAGTATATCACAATGATATACTTTTAAGTTCCTGCTTTCAGTGAGAATGCCGCAGCTGGCAAGATGCAATTGCATGATTGCTGACTCAAATATGCCCTAGATGGCATCAGCAGTCTGCAATTGTGTGCACTGCATGGTGCTGGCTGTTGCGCACACAGCCCTCCACCAACTGCATCCTGGTGCTTAAAGGTATGGACAAAAGTTTCCCTTCCATCCTTGATCACCACATAGTCGCATCCAGTGTCACATAGATCTTCCTAGTTGAAAGTTACACACCAGCTTCCTTACATTAGTCCAGCCAGTAGCACAATTGGTCCAATATTGTCCACTCTGTCCATCAGCTCTTCAATATGGCAAGAAATCTTTCCCAGCACTGCTATCTCAGGTCTTAAATCTGGGATCTTCTGCTTACAAAGGAGTTGTTCTGCCACAGAGAAAAGTTTCCTCCCAAAGTTACACATTGATTTTTATTATTGGCAACCCTTAGTATGTTAAATGAGGCAAAGACGGCTGATAAGAGGCAGAAGTGATTGCTTTATTTACCTCAGTTGTTAGGCAAGGTTTTCTGGTCATAGTTTCCTGGTCATAGGCTTCCACTTTGTACTCCTTTTTGTGTCAGTACCTTGGGGACCCATTTCCTTGTGTGTTTCTGTTCTAGAAATGACCAGAGTAGATGTTTCTAATTACTGACTAAGCGAAACAGAATCCATCAGGAAGATTCTGTTTTGTGGGTGATGGGGGAATTAATAAACCCTCTTGTCTAGCTGTCACTCTGAAGAAGCAGCCATATTCAGTTGCCATAGTGACATGATGTAACTCAGAATGGAAGAAAAGCAGATGTCATAAAGTGCAATTACGGTGTACTTACTGATTTATCTAGGAACATTCTTCATTTTATTCCCCGAGAAGCTGTTTGTGCAGGAGGAGAAACATGTGAGTTGTCAGGGTTGGAGTACATAAAAATCTTTTAATGATTAGGCTGAAATTGAGATATGTCAGCAGTAATGAAGAAAACCACCTCTCCTCTCTCTTACACACATTACTTTATATGCCATTTCATAGTTTCCTGACAGCTTTCTTTAGTGTTTTGTGTGGTCACCATTCACCGGGCTGAAAGAAGTTTCAATGGGAGGGGGAGCCATCTATTACAATGTAAAAGAGAAGATTAATTTAGAAGCATGCATTCAGTCACCAGAATCAGGCCTCTTCTCTTTGGAGGAAGTGTGAAGAACACTTAAACTGGTGAGGTTGTGAAAGCAGGTGGTGGAGGTGTTGGCTCTTGCCAAAAGGGCAATGGAAGATTTTTGATATTTTAGGACTCAGAAGTGCCCCATAGAGTATACCTTTTAAAGTCCAGTGGGCCTGCCACTGACACTCACCTTCTGCTATTGCAACCTTATACAGGTGGGGGAATAAATCAATGGAGTGGTGGGACATTAGGATGTCTTCGGTCCCTTCCTCCACTGTCTCCAAGGTCAAGGAGGGGCTTAAAGTGCCAGGGCAGCAGCAGGAGAAGCCACAGGTTGCTGTCAAACTTAAAATCCATTTAAGTTTGGGAAGAGGCATGGCTATGATGTTGCTTCAGTGGTCCAGTTCAGGGCTCAAACCTGGGACATAGATGCCTAGCTAGCTATGTAGCAGGAATGGTGTGTATATCCTTTGCACCTGAGGAGATGCTGTAATTGAGTGCCTTACCAATAAAGAACTAACACTCATTTGTTCTCCTTGTGCTGGGTGTGCTCAGGACAACCTACTAGTCTCTGAGTATGAGAGACGTCAGGGGTGCCGTATTATGGGTTTGGTATCCTTGGAATGAAGGTGACTGGAGACTGTGATGTTTTGGTGATATGTTTTTTATTTACACATATATACAAGCTAAGAGGAAGATGAAGGGGCTCACAGCATTAACACTCAGCCTAACAGATCTAACTTGCCCATTTGGGTTCAGGTTTCTCTCTGAGTTAGGGCTTTGGGTTCCGCACAGAGTGCAAGGCCATGTAGGCACCCCCATTTATTTTGTGAGCAGTATGCTCCCACCACAGGTTTGGGAAGTGGTGTACACATGACATTAGTCAAAATCCATATACATCTTGCATCTATCCTGTCATTTCTTAGGAAATAGTGTGTTTTGATGTAACCCCCCCCTGCAAAAACTAGCTTTATCCAAATTGAGAAAAAGAACCACCTACCTGAATTTTAAGTAGGTAATGTGTACATGACCATCTCCATGTCATCCCATCTCCACTCTAGCTCACGCCTTGCCAATTGTTCTCCTACACCTAGGATAAAGTGTCTAGTTGTTTCTGTGGCAACATAGCCAGATCTTTAGTCATGTAGAAAGGATGCTTAACAGGTTTGACTAGGGCCATTAACTTGACAAAGAGACTGATTTGACCACTGCAGCAGTTCCTTTTACAACAAAATCCCATCTTACAAACAGAAAAACGAAGGGCTTAGAAGGAGCCCCAAATGGCAAACCAACCAACCAACCAACCAACCAACCAACCAACCAACACCCCACCCCCCACAATCCTGCAACACTATATAAAGTGGCAATGCTGCAGTGCAGTTTAATCAGATCTTTCATACATTTAACCCAAAGATTTAAAGGGAAAACTTTGGAAACTTGAGGGTTTAATGTGTAAACAGCTATGGTGTGTTTTGCACAACAATGCCAATTATAATCAAAAGCCTTCTCTCATCTGATGTGGTCTATAGCTATGATAATGCTTTTAAGATAGATGAAATATAAAGCCACTGAAGAGGACTGTTCAGATGAAACGCATCTGCTGAATTAACTTTTTAATTGGATGCATAGTTTATTAGACTAGGAACTAATTTTCGCCCACATATTCCCTTCTCCTGCCTCTTCCATGCCACACTTTCCCACTACAGCCAAATTGGCAACTATGTCTATTGAGTCGAAACTGATGCATGAAATCAGAATCTGTTGAAATAATAAAAATAAAATAATAATGTATCTGGCAAAGACTCTTGGACTTCTAGAAGCCGCAACAGGGTAACATTACTTAAGAAAGCACAGCAGTCTATGAGTAACTCATTAAATTCATAGGGAGACATGCATATTTTACTGTGCTTCTTAACATGTATTAATTTTTATCTAGTAGCAGGCGATGACGGACGAACTCGAACTATAATTTTAGCAGTTGTATTGTCAGTTGTTGGTTTCCTCCTCCTGATCCTTATTATTCTGCTTATTATCTGCTGCTGCAAAAGAAGGAAAGGTACGTGGGCTCTCTGAACCATTTTAAAACATGGAATTATTTAGGGAGGGAGATTAGGTCCAAATAACTGACTTTTGTGACAGTGGCAGATTTCTACTTGTATTCTTGATAAATGTAGATACGAACACTAAAAATAACCGGGAGAAAGACTGGGACTTAAACACTGATGGTGAGGAATGGAATTCAGTATGGCATAAATTCCCTTATAAATCAACCTCAATCAAATATAGAGAAACAGCCTGGACCAGAGGGGAAACTGTTCCTCATAATCTGTTGTTAAATTTCTTAACGGCATACAATCCAGCGGTGAGCAAATTGGAAATAAAAAGCAATTGGAAATGACAAGACTGTTTGAAACGCACTCTTAACTGTTTACACATCAAGCCCTCCGTTATTGGCACAGCTAATTTGAGAAGTTGCTTTCTGCAAGTGCAGCAGTATGCATAAAAAGTAAACGACTCCAGCCAACACCAGGGCACACACTGCCTCTGTTGTGCTGGTTCCCTGGCACTGTGGCCAGGTCATTCTCTTCAAACACAGGTCTTCCTGCACGGATAACCCTGGAGTTTCTAGCAAGCTGCTCTTCCACAGAGCCCCATTCCACAGAGCCCCATTCTGTAGCTGGATGCAGTCTTGGAGTGCCTTGACTTGAATAATCTGCTTGCAGCCTGTTATAGAAATAGTGGAACATAGGTGCAAGGATAATAGGGTGGAGGGTGATGGATGGTGGGTGGTGGACGGTGTCCCATTGAGCCACACCACGCCCTGCTTTCCATGTGCAAAGGGAGCAAGATTGCAGCCCAAGTTTCAGAGGAATTTTCTGCAGAGTAATTACTTATTTTTGAGATATACAGTTGTACCTTGGTTTTCGAACAGCTTAGTTCTTGAACGTTTCGGCTCCCGAACACTGCAAACCCGGAAGTGACTATTCCGGTTTGCGAACTATTTTTGGAAGTCGAATGTCCGACGGGGCTTCCGCAGCTCCCTGCAGCCAATCAGAAGCGGTGCTTGGGTTTCCGAACGTTTTGGAAGTCGAACGGACTTCCGGAACGGATTCCATTCGACTTCCAAGCTACGACTGCATAGAAAAGTGTATAGCATAGTGATCCTACATGTGAGTTATGAAGGGAAGTTCTTCCTGCCTACAATAATTCTCTCTCTTGTTTCAATGAGGAGTCCAGGTCCACACAAGCAGAGCGCCTCCTTTTTACTTGAATGACTGAGGGTGCATGTGCATGGACAATCTCAGTTTGAGCGCTGGAGCACCTTTCTGTATTAAATTAATATATTTAAGAAGACTTAAGAGTGTTCTTTTCAAATAAATTGCTATTTTTTTAGAATATATTCTAAAATCTGACCTTTCCCCCCAGACTCCAAGTATCAAGAGGAGATGAGGTAAGCTGATTATCATTTTTGTTTCATTCATTTGGTAAAATTTCTATTTAATATTTTGCCCGGCTTGGGATGATGAAAGATGTAATTCAAGAACATCTGGAGAGTCACGGGTTATCCACCCCATTGTTATTAGATTTGAAACATACAAAGTCAGGAACATACAAATTATTTGCCATGGATAATATATATTTTTTCTTTTAAAGAAAAATGAAAAGAAAAGGGAAAAAGAGATTCTATTTCATTATAAATTTAAGTGATTTAAAATTGCTGAATTATCTGTCACCATCACATGACATTTGACTGCATGAATAGTACATGATTTACCTTTAATACCCTTTACCTTTACCCTTTACCTTTAATAGCAACATGACTCCAAACTGAAACTTTGATCCATCAAAGAACTGTTTTGCATTGGAACATTCTTATAGTAGCCTTAATATGTGCAACATATTTCATTTCATATATTTGAGTTAAAACATTTTTATACCACCCTTCATTTAAAAATTCCAAGGCATTTTGCAACACATAAATACTCAGTGGAAACAGGGCACTAAAGGTAAAGGTAAAGGGACCCCGGACCATTAGGTCCAGTCATGACCGACTCTGGGGTTGCGGCGCTCATCTCGCTTTATCAGCCAAGGGAGCCGGCGTACGGCCTCCGGGTCATGTGGCCAGCATGACTAAGCTGCTTCTGGTGAACCAGAGCAGCGCACGGAAACGCCGTTTACCTTCCCGCCGGAGCGGTACCTATTTATCTACTTGTACTTTGACGTGCTTTCGAACTGCTAGGTTGCCAGGAGCAGGGACAGAGCAACGGGAGCTCACTCCGTCGCAGGGATTCGAACCACCAACCTTCTGATCGGCATGTCCTAGGCTCTGTGGTTTAACCCTAATAAAGCTAATAAACCTATAATAACCCTAAAGCTAATAAACCTATAATAACCCTAAAGCTAATAAATGCTGCAATTACAGCAACAACCACAGGAGGTCACTGTGCACCAGAATAGCTCACTCCTCCTAGCTCAAGTAATGCTTACAGTGGATATGCCAATTCTACAGGCTCTTGGAGTATAGAATTTCTGTTGTACAGAAACAGAACTGAAACTGAGACAGGTTGGCACATGTTAATTGTAACCAACTGGTAGGCAAATTAAATGGCATTCTCTGCTTTTCTAAGACTTATTTGAAAGCAACCTTTGGAGAGAGAAAAAAGATGTTTGGTAACAAATTGCTTCTAGCTTAGCAAAATTAGTTTTGACCACTTAAAATGAAGTAAGCTAAATGTCTCTATGCTAGAATGCATTAGGTTGTTGAGCTTTAAAATGTAAGAGAGCTTTCATCTGTATTGAGAAGCTGTTAATCAATACTGAACGGAAACTTTAAAATGACGTCATTGTGGGAAAGGTTTGCCAGGGTTTTTGTTTGCATTCGTCTTCAAGACTGAAAGCTATCCTTTGCCGTCAGAGGGAAGAAGGAAACTTAATTCTGATTTGAGCTAATCAGTGCAATTGCTTATCTAGGTATGCCATATTTTGTTTCACCTTAGCTTGGCAGTTAAATCATTCACTCTGAGTTCTAGAAGAAAGGATCTGGCTTGGGTTCACAATCTATACAAACTCCCTCACATTTCAGAATTGATATTTTATGGCAAAATGCTAATTGTCATTAAAATGTATTACTTGCTGTTCAAGCAAGTGGCAGAGATTAATCATGCTGGATTGGCCTGTGCTCCACTACCCCGATCTTCAAGCGCTGCGAGATTCCAGGGCTTGTATTTTCCTTTGGGAATGAGGCACAGTGGAGACCGTGGTGTCTTTATGATATATGGTTTATTTACGCATCTATACAACCTGAGCCTACAATGGTTCACGGCATTAAGGGTCTTGTTTCTTGTTTGAACTTTGGATTCAAGCAGAAATCAAACATTGGGCTTTGCCTCTCTGGTTTTCCTGCCTGCAGCTTCACTTCTGGGTCACATTACACACACTAAATGCTGGCCTTTTGCCATTCTCACTATCTAAGAGCTAGAGGAGGGGCCCCACTCATTTGCTGTCTGGCCCAGAGCTCCCTCTCACTTACTTTCTTAATGGCCCATCACCCAGGTAATTCCCTGAATAGGAAAGCTAGCCTGGCTTATTTAGCTTTTAACCCTTGCTGCGTCCAGGGATTACATGTCTGTTGTCCAGTTTAACACCCCAAACCTTGATTAAATTCGAACACTTCACTGGATCCAAGAATTTAGTGGAGTCGAGCACCCACAAACTCTTAACACATTCAAGGGTACTTGCAGTTATTGCAAGTTGTTGAAGGGGATTTAGTTGGTTCAGCACTTGTGATAGGGCAATGCATGGGTTTTATACTGAGAAGAGGACTCTGGTCCCAGACTGCTCCCCTTTCCCTCTTTTATCACAGCTAAAGCAAAGGCAGCAGACTCCCCATCATGCATTTCCTAGTCAATACTCAGGAATGGAACTTGCACAATAGAGCTACAGTAGTTGGCTTGACTCCTTTTGCCTGGCATCTGACACTGCGTTTCTGTAGCAGCTGATCTATAGAATAAGCCTGGAAAGCAGATTAAATTTAATACTTCGGCTTAAAAACAGCCCTGGATCAGGCTGTTCCTTAGCTAGTTAGTAACTATGTACTGAAAGCTTTGAGAGCATGCCAAAAAGCTACTAATGTATTACTTTTGCAAGTTGTACCTGGAGTAAAAACTGCTGAATTCAGAGTTTTTGGTAAATTAGATATGAAGTGAACCCAGAGACCGTGCTTCACTTCTGTCCCCAGAACAAACTCACTCTCATGGTATCGCCCACTAAGTATACAAAACGTCCCATAAATTCAATATAGGTGATAGGTTAATAATGGATAGTAAGCAGTAGTACTGGCTGACTTAACATGACCACTTAAATTGTCTATCTGCCATAAAGCTGAAAAAATGAGGAAAGTCTTCTGTGGTTGCACTGAAAGATCTCAAATGACAGGGGTTCAAAGGTAAGCATTTTCTATTTTCTAGAAAGGCATCAGAAAAGAAAAATGCTGATAGAAATTTGGAGACAGACAGACACAGTGGACAAGAAAATTATGCATACAGTCCAGAGGATGCAAGGCGTGCTGGGCAAATGACAGGTGAGCAAAAACTGTGTTTGGGAAAATTTCTATACATCACAAAAATGCATTTGAAATGCTTCTCTGGAGCACTCTGATGGGCAGAGAATAGCCTGAACATTTGTTTTGTTCTCAGAACAGTGGGATATTGGGCTACCACTGTGTGATTTGAAAAGCTAGGATGAATTGGACCCGAAGCCTGGTTTGGCCAGTGTATGGCATCAAGCTGAAATCAATGAACTGTTTCCTCTAGAAGTCATTTAAGGGCAACTTTCAGTGCCTGTTTCCCAAACATATTAGTCAAATGGCCCTCTATGCAGGACAATGTGTTTCCTAGGCCTGTGCTTCCAGTCATTTCTGGTCAACGTTTCTAAAGGTACCATGCAACTGATAAATATTAATGTCATATATGCATATCTTAAAGCCTCAACTCAAGCCTTCCTTCTCTATTTTAAGTGGTTTGAGGATGGTAGCCATGAATATCGGTTAAGTTATGCACAGCAATCCTAAGCATACAAACTGGGAAGCGAGATGTATTTCAAAATCAGTTGCAGCTTAATTTGATTATTTTTTAACAAAATGAATTATAAAATTTTAATGTGAGGTTTATTGGATTTCTTTTTTAACCCAGTGGTACACTGTATAAACCCATATGCCATGCATGAATAATAAGGTAGTGTAGTGTCATCTGAATATCCTGATTCGATTCCCAGCTTCATGTTGAGCAGCAAAAGTGAGATAGCAGCACTGCTGAAGCAGGGCCCTGTGGCAAGAGAAGGAGGCATACAGACTCCCCTTCCTAAAGTATCTTGCTGAAAATACTTCCTAGAATAATGAATATTTACTTCCTCCCAGGAGCTCAAGGTGGCCTACATCGTCCTTCCTCACCCATTTTTATCCTCACAACAACTCTCTGAGGTTGAGGGGGCTGGCTGCCCAAGGTCATCGCAGTAAGCTTCAGGGCTGAGTGTGGATTTGCACCCTGGTCTCCCAGGTTCTTATCTGAAATTCTAACCACTATTCAACACTCCCTATATTCCATTACCCTGAAAAAGATGTGCACAGATGCCATGATTAGGTCCTGAAGATGGATAGATAGAAAAACAGACAGACACACAAACCTTATGTTGTGTCATGCTATGCTATATGTGCAGTATGTGCACTCATTGTTCACTTCTGTGTCTTACCCTACACATGCCGTATACGCAGGGAATGTATGTGAACCTTAGTGTGAGTTACATGTTAACAAACTTGACAAATGCATTTGGATTGTATGCTCAAATAGATAATCTGTGTGCAGCTTGTTGGGTCATGATTACATTGGTCTTCCTTCAGTGCAGAACAAGCTGTACTGAAGATCGTCCTACTGTAACCCAACCATTTATAAATGGTGCAACCTGCAGGGGATTTGCCAAGGGGTGCATTGGAATGCTTGAATAGATAAGTCTCTACAAATTTCTTAGCAGGGTTTTAACAAAGCACCCACCCAATTTACAGCAAATTATTCTGTTTCATGAAGAGCGGTCTGTTCTCTTTACACAAAAAGGACATCTAAAAATACCTACATTTGTTTGTATTCTGAAATGATTTATAGTTCCTGCCATTCTGAAGAATCAATAACAGTTATCCTTTGTATATATTGTCTTGCAGGAGTTCCCTCTTTCTCCCCAGATAACTCTAGCCTGTACGCTCCAGACGGGGATTTAGACGTGAATCCTGCATCACAGGTAATTGGAACAAGTCTTTTACAGACTGTGACATATTCCATAAACATGTAATGGACTTAAGTGATGGTTTATAAAAGAACTGGATTTTTTTTTTTGAGGGGGGGATGCATTCTAGTTTCTGTCCTTAATGCTATTGAATGTTCTTTCAAAAATATCCTTAGCACAGCAAAACAGCATTTTCAAAACATGCAATTCACACCAGAAATTTGGATACTGTGAAATTTGGGTTGTGGGGAAAGGGTTAAGCCCCCTTCTCCTTTTTGTTGCTTCCATTAAATTTGTAGCCTCCTGCAGCATACACAAACACACACACCTTGGGAGACTTTTACGTCTTTGCTGTGTAACAGCAAACAGTACTTTAAATCACCTGTGTGCTTTATAGTACAAGCAGTGAACACAATTATGCAGGACACCTGCCTGAGAATCATGAGAAATTTGAAGACGTGAAAATAAGAGGTACACACTTGAGTGGAATCCCTAGAGTTAATTCTTTGTGAAGGAACAAACGCAAGGCCCACGTGGCCAACATTTGGGCTGGTAAATTCCAAACAGACAAAATTGCTCCCACTCTAACCAACAGACCATAGGAGAGCCCCCACTCTCTTCTCATTCCCTGACGCATGCTGCCTCTATTACCCCCCCCTTTTTTTCCTTTCCTGCCCTAGTTTATACTGTAATAGGATTGAGGGTTGGGTTGGATGATCACAAGATCCTTTTCAACTGAGTGATACTTTAGTGGTAAGGTTGGCATATAGGTTTATTGCAGAAAAGAATTACATGTTTCAAGGTGAAAATAGTAAAAAAAAAATCGGTACCCTTGTAGATGCCTAGCCAGTTGCCCTCTGAGTGTAAAATATTTTCAGTAAGAAGACAGGAATGATCCTGCAGTGACCAGCATCACATCTAGTGGGCCTAGGCTCTGACGTGGTACCTGACTGCTGCTCTCTAGGTGGGCACGTGGGGCCCAGGGCTTCAGCCCCCCCCCCCGGTCCAGCCCTAGTTGCACTGCTTGCTTTCCCCCATCTCCCTCCTCCTCCTCCTTTCTTATTTCATATCCTTTTCATGGCAACGCTTCATTGCTACTAGCACAATACAAGACAGGAGCATTTCGAATTATGCTCTTTGTTCAATTATTTGTGAATTTCGATGGGGTATCTGGCTATTGAATGATTTATTGGTCTGGCAGTAGGTCATTGTGCAAAGCTGAGGCTACTGTGTTGGCTATTAAGATCGGGAATGCTGTATTTCAAAGAGTTTTGTGTTTGGATCATACTGAAAACATGCCTTGAGCCTGCAATTTGCAGAGTTTTTGCCATATATCATAGTCTGCTTGCATTTTCTGTTTGCGCCAGCTTGCCAGGACCTTCCAGGTTCTGTCACATTCAATGCCAACAAATGATAGTGCTGATCTTAAATAGCATTTATTGCATATATGATGGCACATAAACCACCTACCCATCACTCAGATCCAGTTTCCTTTTGCTTACTTTATTAGCTATCTCAGGGAGATTCCATAACTTGTGAATATTTTCTCGTGATGACTTGTGATAGACTTGGGGATGCATCCTTTGAACTACCAGGCCCCAGAAGTCTGAACCCTATTTTTTCTCTCCCTTTGATTGGTGTCTGAGCAGGCCAATTTTCTGCTATTACTCTCCCTCTCAGGGTAACACAGAGGTCAGTTTCCTTTAGAATGTTTGTTCTTAGAATGTATGCCTTTTTCAATCTGTTTGATTTAGAGCCCGGAGAACAGTTGGTGTTGAAAGAACAGATCAAAGTCACCTTAACTGTGGGGCTATCTCTTGATTGAGAGAGTCAGGCAATTGCAGGAACAATAAAGCATCATGAAGAGCGAAGTAGATCAATTTCATAATGACCTAGTCTGTAAGATCAGGTGGCTTTGCAGGAGGATGGTGTAGGTTACAAAGAAGTTCTATTTTAACAACACCATCCCCAATCAACACGCTTAAAAAAATTAGTATTTCCCTGTAGGTGTCTTCATGACCTTAGACTTAACCTGACACCAATTTCTGGGCTCATCACTGAATGTTGTAGGATGGCTTTTCCCATTTGAGAACATGACAAACAGTTGTTGCATTGCATTACGAACAAGGCAATCATTTGATAACTGTGTTTTTGCTCTATCAAAATTTACCAATGGCTTCTTTCTTAGTTTTTGGATACATCTAGTGGGTATAAAATTTCATTTTTTTTAGGAATGAGTTTTTTTCTGCAGTATCAAATGAAAGTGACTTTAAAATAAAAATAATCTAGCTCAGGAGTCAGCAAACTTTTTCAGCAGGGGATCAGTCCACTGTCCCTTAGACTTTGTGGGGGCCCAGACTATATTTATTTAAAAAAATGAACCGATTCCTATGCCCCACAAATAACCCAGAGATGCATTTTAAATAAAAGCACACATTCTACTGATGTAAAAACATGCTGATTCTCGGATCATCTGCAGGCTGGATTTAGAAAGCGATTGGGCTGGATTCAGCCCCCGGGCCTTAGTTTGCCTACCCATGATCTAGCTTCACCAGTTCTGATAGTGCCCTTGTGCTGAGTTATGGGGAGCCTCAGAGTACGCAGCTCGCCTGTGACTCTTGGCATATGCCAATCAGGTGCCCTGAGCCATCTCTTTGCTGAGACATTCCAGGGGAGGGGCACCTCATGATCAGCAAGGCTACTGGCACCTGCCTCTTTAAGCCCACCTGCTGAAAACTCTCCAGTCTTTTTCTTTTTACTCTACTTCCCAGTAAGCAACAGCAAGATGACCGACTGATGTCAGGTGAGTGGTGATAACCCAGCTGCTATCTGCTGTTGACAAAAACTCATTGCATTTTATGAACCTACCATTATTTTTCCCGAGTCGCAAAAAACAACAAGTGAAGGTTACTTTCTTTAACTTGAGCCTTTAATTGGGCACATTTGTAGCACGCACTGTCTGGTGCACAAAGCACTGTTGGATGAATTTGAAAGAAGCATTAGTAGGCGAGTCTTTCTGTCACAGTGTTTGTCACTGCTGACAAATCAACATGAAAGTAGATTAAATGGCAGCACCTTTTATTGAAGATCTCATGGTTGACAATCGATGCAGATTGCTAGGCTGCTTTCTGGAAATTTGGCAGCATTTTTGCATTTCTGCTCACAACGTCAAATCAGACAAACAGGAATCTGGATTTTTCTATTGTGGGGAACAGAAGGCTTCTGTCAGTGCTATTGTGATACAGTGATGATGTCAATGGAAGAGGCATAAGTGCATGCATAGCTTGGCCTACAAGATCAAGGTGGAATACATCTGAAGCTGCTTAAGCTCATGAGATCACACCAGGTCAAATGCCTCTCTCCCATAATCTGAAGTGGAATCCTTAGAGGAAGTCGGGTGTTGAGTGATCATCTTCCAAGATTCATGACTGCCAGATTTATTATGATATTGAAGTAGGAGATTTGTCCATCCCTACTGAAAAGGGGCACAAGCAGTATATACTAACCACAACCTCAGTTCTCCAAGAGCTAGCCCAAAAACAGCAGTAACCATTCACAAGAGGGATATATCTCAAGGAACAAGAGATTTGCAGAAGTCCAGAAAAATCATTAAGAGAAAATAGGTACTGCATGGATTACGACAAAAAAAGAGCCCAATGTGGACTGAGTATGCTTAGTGGGCATGTGATACTGACTGCTCAAGAAGAAGAAAAACGGAAAGTTAAGGAATATCCTGGAAGAAGGGATGACTGCACAGGAGCCTTCCAAAATGCAATATTCTGTTGCAGGTCCCACTTGTTTTTGACAATTGGAACACATTCAAGAAAACTTGCAAATGAGCAATGGAGTATCAAATCCTAGGACTTTTATGACAACATATCAACCATAAGGGCTCAGTATCACATAAGTCCTAGAATCCAACTCTTCATTGCTCATTTATACAACAAAAGTGGATTTTGTGAGCCCTTGTGGTTGCTAAGAGACTTATACTTCAAACCTGGAAGGATAAATACCCAGCATCTACTATGCAATGGTCTGGCGACATTTGAACATTTTTCATATAGACGTCAATTTTGTGTGGATACCTATTTGGACAAGTGGATTACTTATTTTAACTTAAGATACTGATCAAAGTGCCTTCTCTCTGAAAAAAACTACTGCCTTCTTTGTGTGTGCATGTGCTGAGTAATTACAGCCCAAAAGAGAATTATATAACCAATGCAAAGTCTTGAGAATTCATATGCTGAAGGCATCAGTGGAATATTGCACTACAGTGTTAACCTAAAAAAATCTCAGTCCTCAGTACAATAGGCAAGTTCCATCACATCCACCCTGGCGAGGTGTTGGAAGGGGATTCCCTTCCTCTAGAGTAGCCCAACTTTCTGTAGCATGAGGGGGCAGAGGGAGGTTCCATTTGCACAAGGGGAAGTCACAAACTAGATGCCTCTAGGGCAGTGTTTCCCAACCTTGTGCCTCCAGATGTTTTTGGCCTACAACTCCCATCATCCCTGACTAGCAAGACCAGTGGCAAGGGATGATGGGAATTGTAGGCCAAAAACAGCTGGAGGCACAAGGTTGGGAAACACTGCTCTAGGGCATGAGTGATTCGTGCAAGGCCAGCCATTTTTAGATAGGGTCATGGCTGGCATACCAACCTTAGCTGATAAAAGGCTACCTAGCTACTGGTGCCACTTGCACATCCATGGTGAGCATCAAGTCCAGGTGAACCCCCAGGCTATGAGCTTGCTCCTTTGGAATGCAAGGGTTTTGATGTAGCCAAGAAGCAATGGGTGTCCACTCCTGATAATGCAGCCTGTATGTTTATCGTGTTCTGCTTCCTTTCTTGCACAGATCTCACCACAGTTTTTCTAGCTCATCACAGTCTCTTCAACGTATCTCCCCTGCCCCATCTTTTCACAACGTTAATCGACGTTCACAAAAAGGCGCAGCACAGCAATCCCGGACTATTCCTACAGTGCGATTCAGGAGCGTCTCTTCAAAGTCCCACAATTCCAGGGCTCCCCAGCTACGTGGTTCAAAACTGCACCCCCATATTTACCGATCTGATGGCAAACGTCGCTACACCAGGAAGGTGTACCCACAAAGGTGGCAAGCTGGTGGCCAGCATAGATACATGAGGAGGCCAAAACACCATCCTGAACAATCAAAGGCCCAAGATACTCAAACCCACCATTCCAGAAAGCAGCATTTGCCTCACAGAGGACAACAGAAGGAGAGTCCACCTCGACAAAGTGAGCCTCACTCCCAACAGAGCTGCAGGAATTCCAGAAAAAACAATTCTATCCTGGCACCAGGACAAAGGTGCTCAGAGTTTTGTCTCCCCAATAAAGGAATTACTATTATTACTGATGATGATGGGGAACCAGAAGTCCAAGCCCAGCTCATCTGAGGTCTCTGCATAATATTTGGACCAAGATTTCACCAATGTCCATAAAAGTAGTTTAGGGTGCAATCCAAACTTCCCAAACAGGTGGACGGGCAGAAGTGGACTCGTGGATTTCCTGTTAGTGTCTGCAGTGGAAGCCAGCAGAAAGCCCTCGGATGGGGTGTTTCATGGATGCTTTGAACTGCCTGGGTTCAACTGGATCCTAGGTTGGCCCACTGCCATCAAATGACAGCAACAGGCCCAATCCAGACCTGATTGCTGCACCACCTCCAAGCTGACACAGCAGCTTTCCTGCCTTATCTTCCGCCATTGGAGCCAACTCCTAGGAGCCAAGAGGTCTTGCTCCCCCCCCCCCAATAAAATATTTGAGGGAGCCAGGCTCCACCCAAGTTGATGGGCATTGCTATTCAAATGGGTGTGTACCACGTCATGTGATTGATTATGCAAAACGGGGCTTCCCTGGGCCACCCAACATTTTATTCAAGTTGGCACCCCTGTCTTCTGCTCCATCCAACATATGTGACAGGGCTGTGGAAGCTCCATTGATCAGCAGTTAGGGATAGGGTTGTGCTTTTACTTTTGTTTCTTATTAAGCAGAGTTACTGTTATTTTTCAACTTTTGCATCTCTTCACAATTGTGGAAATGTGAACTACATACTTTGTAATTCTATGCCCACTTACCTCAATAAGACTTGCTTACTTACTCAATGGGTCTTATTTCTGATTCTACTGCTGTTCTTTTTGCCATGAACAAATGAGATTGGATTTTTTATTTTCCCCATCTTTGATTAACAAACTGGGTCCTATGAATGAAAATATGCTTATTTTTCTGAGATGTCTAAGAACAAGTGAAATGAGTAGGGAAAATTCCCATTGAATTCCACAGCATTTATGTCATGCTTTTAGGACTGTAGCTAATCCTGAAAATTTGATGACATTAATTTAAAATTGAAATATAAATTTTCTAAATGATATAAACAAAATGCCATGGTAATTTCTGGGATCAAAATTAATGTTTATACATGTATTTCTGTCCTTTATTATTATTAATAAATTATATTATTTATTCCATTTATATCCTGCTTTTCCATCATGGGCCTAAAGGTGGTGATCATGTAATTACTGGGGTTATTTTCTCTCTCTACAAACAATAAATAAGAGAGCCATTAGATAACCAAATCCCAAATTAAAAAGCATTCAAAATGTTTGGCAGATAGAATTAGAAATACATCCACTTCGTTGTCCTAATGAATTTATAACATAAAACAAATTAGACAAGTAATTAAAGGAGAAATTAATGCAGTAAAAGGGAAAATGGAATCATGAGGCTCAGTCACTTTTGTAAATGGACCTATTAGGATTTATTGAATGAAGGAGAAAATAGCTGACAAGCAAAATGAGCAGGGTGGGGGAAGGATCCAAAATCTCTTTGTGCGAGCACCAGAAGGGATCCAATACGAATGTAGCAAGCAAGAGGAAGACGAAGGTGACAGAATTCTGTTGAGGGACATATTTTTTTAATTCAGTAGAGTGATGGGAGTGTCTTGCTTATTGTGCATTAACTAATTAGTTCCCAACGACTTGTTAAAGCCAGATGGTCCACTAGACAAACATAAATGTAAAGGACCCCTGGATAGTTAAGTCCAGTCAAAGGCGACCACGGAGTTGCGGCACTCATCTCACTTTCAGGCTGAGGGAGCTGGCTTTTGTCCACAAACAGCTTTCCTGGTCATGTGGCCAGCATGACTAAACCGCTTCTGGCACAATGGGACACTGTGATAGAAGCCAGAGCGCATGAAAATGCCATTTGCTGTAGCAGTACCTATTTATCCACTTGCACTGGCATGCTTTCGAACTGCTAGGTTGGCAGGAGCTGGGACAGAGCAACAGGAACTCACCCCATCAGGGGATTTGAACCGCCGACCTTCCGATTGGCAAGCTCAGTGGTTTAGACCCCAGTCTACTGAGGGGGCAGTGTGTTGCCATTAGTTAGAAATGCCACTGCTGCACCAAACCCAGAAAAGATGGGTCACCCTGTGGCCAAGGGAAAAGAGGAGAAATCAACATGCAAGGAGAGGTGAATGCAGGTGGCAGAAAGAGTGAGTGGAACCAGAAGGGGAGAAGGGAGTGATTATTTATGCTAAGCAGGTGCCTATGACAGTGCAGGTAATCTAGCTTTCCAACATACGGTAGCTTTATGTTGCTTGCATCTGAAAGATCAGCCCTCGGAATTTTGGCTATGTAATGATCAGGGCCAGCCATGCCATTAGGCAGAATGCTGCAATCACCCCAGGCAGCAATACCTTCTGCCCACCATTCTCCTTGAACTCCTTGCCCATTTCCCTCTGGCAAAGAGCAGGGGTGTGTCTGCCACCCAACCTGTCCTGCATTCCCTAAGCTACTGAAATCTCTATGTTTCACCAGTTGGAGGCTGCTATCCCATTCCTGTGCTGGTCAGCGTCTTTACATGGTGATAGTAAAATGGGGCATTGTTACCACAGGTGGAAAATATCTTAGGCTGGTCCTGGTAACGATCACTGCTATTGTCTCAACAAATTATGGGTGAGAAGCTGAGGAAGAGAGAGGGAATGTTTGAAAATGAACAAAAATATTGAGTTACCATTTAATGAAAAGTCTAGTGAAAACATTGCCAGCAATTGACTTTACAATAAATAAGGATGAATCAAGGCAGAATAGTGTATTGATAAATGAAGGACACTGGTAATTAAAACCGGAGAGGGTACAGTTATACTAAAAGCAGTTGCAATGAGAAGATATCTGCCCACCCTGTCCCAGGAACAAAAAGTTAAATGTTTGTCTTAGATAAGAACACAATGGTGGTGAAATGTCATGGTTTGCGAGGAGACTGTTCTGCACCATACAGTATCAACTGGGTGGATGTTGTGATGCAGTTCTTAACGGATTTAGAAGGAAAATATGTTTCTTTTTAAATAAATAAATAAATAAATATTAGTTTTAAATTATTATATGATGCTTTGAGGAGCATTTGGTGGAAAACTGGTCTGTAAATAAAAATCTAAAAACATACAAGTATAAATGGAACATCTGGATGAGTGTTCTGTATGAAGTCTGATATATTTTAAAATAAACACAGTAAATATGAGTTTAACATAAAGGCTACCAACCAGACAATAAACAAGTTTTGAGTGCAATATTAAAGGCAAAGGGCTGCTGATATGTATTTTATTTTATTTTATTTTAGTTTAGTTTAGTTTTTAGTTTAGTTTAGTGTGCAGAGAGCAATGTGACTTCTGTGACCCAGTTCCTAGGCTGAGAAACACAGAAATCTCCCTTTGGTCCAGTCACCACCTGACATGCAGCTCAAATTTATATTTGCTGTTCCTGCACACTTAAAAAATAAATAAATACAGGCACACACCAGGATGTATTCAGAGGACTCTGAACAGAGCCACACACCCATTCTTAGAGAGAAACAAAGGAATGGAAGAGTAGGCAGAGGAGCTAACAAAGACTCAGAAATATAATCTCATGGTTTACAGAAAGGCTTACGATAAAATCTTCCAATAACATTACAGCCAAATTTAATATGTTGTTCAGTTCATTACAGTCTTTCTCAGATTTGGCCACTAGCCAAGATGGTGGGATACAAAGGTGGGGGGCACATTTTGGGGGGAGGGAGGAAGTAAAGAGTTCATGTTTTCAAGAAATAGTGCATTATTTTCTGAGGGTGCAGCATCTGCTGAAACCACTTTATTTAGAAGAACATAGTCATGAAACCCTGTTGGAGTTCTAAAAGCTGCTCACTGGCTCACACAGCCTCCTGAAAAGAGTCCTGGTCTTAGGAGACTGACCTGTTGTTGCATCACTGTGTAAGGGGAACTTGCCCATCCTTTTCCTAACTGGGAGCAAAGCCCAGCTGCAGTGCTGAAGCAGCTTTTGTTATCAACTGCATTGTGCAGCAGGGATGAGGCAGGGACTAGAAAGCTGATGCAACTCTATTTGCTGAGTGTGATTTAGCAATTCTCTTCCACACTCTCCTGCAGCATCCTTTCTAGCCACAAAAGAGAAGCGGAGACTTGCATAAAAAGACACAGTGCACAAAATGACCACCTTTGCCTCACATGCTAACGGAATCATACTTAATCTGCAGCATTGCAAAGTATTTGCTTATGCTACTGAACATGCCAGTCCATATGACTGTCTTCTGGTTGCACTCCTATATCATACAGGCCCAGTTTGTATGCTACACTAAACCATGGTTTAGCAACATATACTCAGGTAGAAGGGAACTGCTGCGAGCCTCAAATTTGTGCTTTACCTTCTCCCAGGGGCGGAGGAAGGGGGGGTGCGGTGGCGCAGACCACCCCGGATGTCACCACTGAGGGGGGTGACAAAATGCTGGGTGACACTCATCGCGGGGCCTGCGGTGCGCCTGAGCCACACGTCTCTCCTGGGAGAGACGCGGTGACTTGGGCACCCGCAGGCTCTGCACTGCCCCAAACGGTCCGCCCGCTGCCTCCCCCTCAGCTGTAGGAGTGGGAGGAGGCAGGCAGACTCCAGATGCCCTGTGGAATGTCCTGCCCTGGCTGGCCCCACTCCTGAGTCCAGGGCACACGCACCGCCCCAGGTGCCTAATCGGCTTGCTCCGCTGCTGCCTTCTCCTTCTCTGATGCAGCAAGGTGGAGAACATTTGGTTTTACTTTACTTTAAAGTCAGCTTTTTGTGTCATCTGGACCAGAGATTGTGGTTCCTAACAAACTTGGTTTGGCTTAACAAACCAGCTTCAGAAACCACTGCTGGGACAACTCAACAAGGTAAGAGAAGCAGCAGTCAATGTCTTCCATCTGGCCCAGTGAGTAGAGAAGAGGGAAGCGGGGCTCACAGCAAGTCCATCTTGCTTGTGAACAAATGGCTAAATCACCACCTTAATTTCCAATAAGTATCTATACATACAAATTTGCATATGCAAATCAGTGTATGAACCTGTGCCCCAGTACTTCATAAGTATTAATGGTATAAAAGTCCCATCTTCTATGACAAAGCCAGATTAAATGTTTGGTGTTGTACAAACTCTAACTTCAAGACGTGGTGAAGCAGAAGCAACTCTCGTATCGCAGATCAGCAGCACCTCTGGCTGTTAGTAAAGATAACAAATGTGCAAACACACAATTTCTTACCCTGCAATTTCCCCAGCTTATTTTTTTATTTGAGGTGCATAACAACTGATAGGATCTCTGGTTTGCCTCACACTGCTGTAGCATCAGTGTCTGAGGAGCTGCCATCTGGCAAATTAAAAGTTCACAACTCTGTGCCTAATAACAGATGTGCCCATATCATGCATCTCATAGGTGTCATAACAGGAATTATGGAATGCTTGCAGTAGCTGAAATCCTTGTCTAACTGTCTGAAGATCAGCTGCACACATCCAAGTTTTGAGATGAGTGGCCCTAGCTGCACATGCTTAGTTTCATCTGGGCTGCTTCTACATCTTTGCAACTTTCTGTTGTGATGCTAGACATGAAGAGACACATTTCTTCGTCCAGTCAACCCAACCTTACATATTGGTTGGTATTTAGTCAACTCATTTCTTGCTATATCCTTCAAGACAAATGGATGAATGAAGCTACTGGTTCTGAAATGGTAAGGGGTATTGGGCCATCTTTCAAAACCATGGTATAGCTGGATAATTTTGCCAGCCTGCTGCTGGGCAACAGGGACCACCCTGCCTCTGTCAGGGACATGGAGCAATCACATGCTTCTTCTCATGGTTTCAGGTCCTACTTTTTAACATAAAAGCACTTTATCATATGAACAAGGTAAGGCAAACTGTTGTTTACCATGGCTCTTGCATTTTGGAGATAGTTACCTTAAAATGCTGCTCTTTAATGAAAGCAAAATCTGGGGTAACTTTGAAGCTGCATATGTGCTGAAGGCAGTCTGTGGTCCTTTCTGTTCACAGGGATTTCACTCATGACTAATATCTTTTCACTTTTATAGTCTGGCCTGAGGCTATATGAGCAGCCCAATATTTTACTTTGCTCTCTCATCATCTACCTGGCTTCTGTTCTTTGCTTATTACAAAGGCTGCAGATGGTTAGAAAAATTTGTTTTCAGTTAACATGTTGGTCACCTCCCTGATCTATTATTTGGCCAACATGCATTTTATTTTGGTTTATAGTTTACGTTTTTATGGTTAAGAAGAAAAATGGTAAGAAAGGGGAAGAAAGAGAATTGAAAGTTGATTCCTTCCTTTGGATTTTGAGTCTTGAGTCAGAACAAGTTTAAGATTATCTGGGAAACTGTTGGTTTGGTTTCATTTACCCAACCACTTTATTTTGTTATAAATTTGACCAAATCATATCACAATATTCTGATACAATATAGGTCTTGTCTAGTGTGTTTTGGGATGGCAGCTTTAGCTATGGCGAACTAGAACTGGATCAGGCTACTTGAGATGGATATAATTTCGAAATGTTTTACCAAAATACTTTTATCTGTGCCATTTATAGGTTTCTTATAACGGACGTCATGATGGAGTGCAGCCCTCAAGAACTACTGCTGTCCCAATCAATCCAAGAAAAATCAGAAATGTGACACACGTATAGGAAATCGTTTTCTCTGGTCTTTGTTTGAGTCCCACATCTTC